CTCACAGAGAGCTAGAGACTCGCAGAGAGCTAGAGTTAGACAGAGAGAGCTAGAGACACACAGAGAGCTAGAGACTCGCAGAGAGCTAGAGTTGGACAGAGAGAGCTAGAGATTCACAGAGAGCTAGAGACTCACAGAGCTAGAGACTCACAGAGAGCTAGAGTTAGACAGAGAGAGCTAGAGACTCACAGAGAGCTAGAGACTCGCAGAGAGCTAGAGTTAGACAGAGAGAGCTAGAGACACACAGAGAGCTAGAGACTCGCAGAGAGCTAGAGTTGGACAGAGAGAGCTAGAGATTCACAGAGAGCTAGAGACTCACAGAGCTAGAGACTCACAGAGAGCTAGAGTTAGACAGAGAGAGCTAGAGACTCACAGAGAGCTAGAGACTCGCAGAGAGCTAGAGTTAGACAGAGAGAGCTAGAGACACACAGAGAGCTAGAGGCTCGCAGAGAGCTAGAGTTTGACAGAAAGAGCTAGAGATTCACAGAGAGCTAGAGTTAGACAGAGAGAGCTAGAGATTCACAGAGAGCTAGAGATTCACAGAGAGCTAGAGACTCACAGAGAGCTAGAGTTAGAGAGAGCTAGAGACTCGAAGAGAGCTAGAGTTAGACAGAGAGAGCTAGAGACTCACAGAGAGCTAGAGACTCACAGAGAGCTAGAGTTAGACAGAGAGAGCTAGAGACTCACAGAGAGCTAGAGACTCACAGAGAGCTAGAGTTATACAGAGAGAGCTAGAGACTCACAGGAGAAGCTGGTGAGGACCTTCGCAGGAGAGCATGTGTGTCAGTGTTTGTGTGTGCCAGTGTATGTATCTGAACATGTGTTAGTGTATCAGTGTGTGTGAATCTGTGCATGTATGTTAGTCAATGTAACTGTGTATGTGTGTCAATCTGTGTGTGTGTATATCAGAGTGAATATGTGTGTGTATATGTGTCTGTGTGGAAATGTATGTTTATGTGTATGACAATGTACCCCTGTACATGTGTGTTTGTGGCAGTGCATATATATTTATGAACACACGTTTGCATGCGAGAACCAATATTACACACAAACACACCGCTGTATTCAAAACGCCAACACTGTACACAAACACACCTCTGCATGCACATGCCAACTTTACAAACAAATCTTGCATTCAGACACCAACATTACACACTGCATTTAAATGCCAGCACTACACACAAACAGAGCCACTGCAATCAAACATCAACATTATACACAATTACACAAACATTCACACAAGTATACTAAATACAAAGATACTGCATATAAAATGAAATCTGCGAGAATAGGTAAATAGCAAATCCACAACTGGTAAAGCATCACAGAATTTGTGTAACAGCTCAGGATCTACCCATCGGCCACCTCTGCTCTATAGCAGATGGGGGGCTCTTAACACATTCTTGCCCCGGGGCCCTAACATGTCTAGTGTGTGAGGCTGGACTGAAAGTGAAAGTGATCATACTGGAAATGCCTTGCAGGAGTTGCAGAGACAGCACAGAGTGATACAGCGTATATAACAGCTCCTGCAACTCTATCATCAATCACAGAAGGCAATTTTTGTGGTGCAAGGAACAGAGGGCATACTGTGTCTACAGGCACCTGACTTGGAAATCCAATTCCAATTAGTGAAAATCTTTATTAGATCATTAATGTTAGTCCTTATGATATTAAGGCCTTATTTTTATATGTTTGGAAAAGCTTTTCAAATGATACTGTTTTCCCTTCAGCTATAGGAATATTGTTTTCCCTTCAAATGTGATACCACCATGTATGTTTTGGTTTCTACCTACATTTTATATTTATATAATGACATGGATTTATATTGGATGCATAAATACCAATAAAATCCAAATTGGAAAACCACAGGCAGAAGTGGGATATATTAGGCAGCAATTGACTAGTCAGTTCTTGAATTTCATGTGTTTGAAGGAGGGAAAATAGGCAAATAGAAATATCTGGGTTACTTTGACAAGGGTTAAATAGTGATGCCTAGACAACTGGGTCAGAGCATCTTCAAAATGTTCCTGGTATACAGTTTTATATTTTTTTTGGTAGTTGCTAAATAGTGTAGATCAGGGGTGCCCAAAAGGTAGATCCCCAGATGTTGTAAAAGTACATATCAGTACAAGCTGCAGTTTTAAAACATCTAGATGATGGATTTCCACTATACGTCTCTTTTAAATTTTATTTCTTATATTTAAAAAAAAAAAAAAAACTACCAAAAATCGGAGTAAGGAATGGCAACTGGTTAACTGGCATCAGGGTCGTGGATACCCAAATCTCATTGATGCACATGGAGAGTGAAGGCTAGTTTGTTTGGTTTAATCAAACAGAAGAGCTACTGTAGGTCAAAATGCTGAAAATCTTACTGCTGGCCATGATAGAAAGGTGTCTGAACACACAATGCATCACAGTTTGTTGCGTATGAGACTGTGTAGCCACACACCAGTCAGAGTGCCCATGCTGACCCCTGTACACTGCCAAAAGCACCTTCAATGGGGATGTGAGCATCAGAACTGCACAATGCAACAATCAAAGAAAGTTGCCAGGTCTGATGAATCATGTTATCTTTTAGAAATTTTAGATTTACATGGGGAAGTGATGAAAGCAGGATGCATTATGAGAAGAAGGCATACTGGCGGAGGTAGTGTCATTATCTTTATTATTTTTGGCATCTATATAGCACCAACTTATTCTGCAGAACTTTACATTATTATTAAAGGGGAAAATGTAATAATAAATTAGACAATTACAAAATGTTACAGGAACAATAGGTTGATGAGGACACTGCTCAAACATGTTTACGGTCTAAAGGGTTATGCTCTGGGCAATATTTTGTTGGGGTACCTTGAGCCCTGGCATTCATGTGGATGTTACTTTGACATGTACCACCTACCTAGAGATTGTTGCAGACCACGTACACCCCTTCATGGCAATAGTGATCCATGATGAAAGGGGCCTCTTGATGTCCTGGAAC